GTCGGGCGGAAAACACCGGTAACAGTCATCCTCATCACTAATAGTCACAGCATACATGGCAGCAAGAATAGCATCAAAGTCAAGGTCAAAGACAGCTACTCCCGCCCTAGACAGCTCGCCCCAGCGGGGGGTCTCAGTGGCCTCAGGGAACTGGTGACGCCAAGCGTCCGTCAGGCGGCCAAAGCAGCGCTGGGTGGAGTGCGCACCCCTGCATTGCTCATTCGCGCGGTCGCCGGTGCGTAGGACGTAGGTGCACGGACCAGTACCCCCACCCCGTTGGAGTGCAGCGTACCACTCACGGAGCTGCTGAGGGGGGGGGATGTCACGAGTGCGCTGCTGCTGCTGCTACTGCTGCTGCTGCTGCTGCTGCTGGCGCTGACAACCACCGGAGCCGACCCTCTGCGCAGCGCCACCCCGACCAGCTCCACCTCCTCCACCGCCACCTCCTCCACCGCCGCCACCTCCGCCACCTCCGCTCCCACCGCCACCGCCGCCGCCGCCTCCGCCTCCACTGCCGCCACCGACACCTCCACCCCCGCCACCACTCCCACCACCACCCCCACCCCCTCCACTGCCTCCACCGCCACCTCCGCCACCCCCGCCAGCCCCTCCAGCACCCTTGCCCCCCTTGCCCTTGGCGGTGCGGCATTTCCCGCTCGGGGCAGACGCAGCGCCGACCGACTCGAAACCAACAAGGTCGGCCGCAGCAGCAGAGGCAACAGAGGGCAAAAGGGGGGAGGGGGAACACCCCTCGAAGACGGGGGTGCGAGGGTCACCACGAGAGGCTCCTACAGCGACTATGCTCTTCTCTACTGCTAAGAGGGCCTTCTCGAGGAGGTCAACGGTGAGAGTGGTGGGGCAAACTGAGAGGAAGTGGTCCCTGACTACGCGAAGGGAGTCAGGGAGCCAGGTGACTATGTAGTAGAGGGTGATGTACATGGGGGGGGGCGGGGTTCTTGGCGCAGAAGTCAGCACGAAGCGCAGCGCGGTAGCGAGTGTCACTAGTGCGGAGGTGCGTAATGAGGTCAGCGACTGTGGGAAAGGCAGCAAGGTCAGGGAAGAGGTACGGTAGCATGAAGCGGCTGAGTGCAGCAGTGGCAGGGGAGGAGTAGCGCGCAACTACAGCGTCGTACAAGGTCTGAGCACTCTTGTACTGGCTAAAGTGCGCACGCTCAGAGGTAGGGAGGTGGCGACGCACAGCAAGACGTGCAGCAGCATCGCGTGTGGCCCACGGTGAGCGAACAGTGGCGTCGGCATCAGCAGCAGGGGCAGGAGAGGCACCAGAGGTGAGGTCAAAGAGGGAGAGACCGTCTGCCCTATCGCACTGTAGGAAAAGCTGCAGGTCATCTACCCAGACGTCAAAGTCAATGGCCCAACCCTCAGCGTCAAAAGCGAGGACACTAGGGGTAGCCATGACAGCAGTAGACTAGCAGCGCGAACAGTAGGGTAAGGGCAGTGCAGTGATAGAGGCGCTGCTCTTACCGGACAGGGCGGCTCGGGCGGCTCGGCGGCTCGGCAACTCGGCGGCTCGGGCGGCTCGGCGGTACGGCGGCTCGGCAGCAACTGCGGCTCGGCGACTCGGCGGCTCGGGCGGCTCGGGCAGCTTGGTGGTACAGCGGCTCGGCAGCAACTGCAGCTCTGCGGCTCGGCGACCCGGCGGCTCAGGCGGCTCAGGTGGCTCGGGCGGCTCGGCAGCAGCTCGGCGGCGCCGGCGGCTCGGTGGTGACGGCGGGGCCGCGTGGGGACGGCGGCGGGGCCGGGTGGAGCGGCGGCGGGGCCGGGTGGAGCGGCGTCAGGGCCGGGTGGAGCGGCGTCGGGGCGAGTAGAGGCGGCGTCAGGGCCGGGTGGAGCGGCGTCGGGGCCTGTAGAGGCGGCGCCGGTGCCGGGAAGGGCAGCTCCGGGACCGCAGGGGTAGGCGACGTGGCTAGCAGAGGTGGCGCCGAGGCAGGGATGGGCGGCGCCGGGGCCGCTAGGGCGGCTAGGAGGGGGGGGGGGTTTCGCGAGGGCGGTTTGAAGAGGCCGCGAGGGCGGCGCGACGCGACGGAGCCGCGAGGGCGGCGGATCGGGGCCGCAAGGGCGGCGCGACGTGAAGGGGCCGTGAGGGCGACGCGACGGGGCCGCAAGCGCGACGCGACAGGGTCGAAAGGGCGGCTCGACGGGGCCGTGAGAGGGGAGCGCGACTCGGGCAGTGTAGAGCGCGCTCCGGGCAGGAAAAAAAAAGGTGGTGGGCCCTAGGAACAGTTGCCACAGGGGAACCTGCTCGATACCATGAGAAACTGAACGAGAATGAAATGACTAAGGGAAAGTTGGGTACAAGTACAAACCCTAGAAAGCTGTACCCCATATGTGCTACCCTACTATAGCCTACAGTAGCTATGTCATATAAATCTGACAAGTGTGACCCCTTCGGAAAATTCTTTTCCATCAGGGTTTTTCATAGTTTCAAAAAAAAACCCTTATGCCACAGTGTAACAATTTTCAATACCTTGATGAAGTATTTCTAATGAAGTTTTGAATGAAAACGCGGGCTACGAGATTTGAACTCAAGTCTTAGCGGGACAGGAAGTGCGAGGGCGAATTGGGGGGGAGGGTGTTAGGGGGAAGGGGAGGGGGGGGGGGGGGGGGGGGTGGGGTGGGGGGTATGGTACTCGCTTCAGGGTAAATCTCGTTAAGAAATCGGTATCCGTGAGCCATCAGTGTGCCTTAAATGTAAACACTGGCATATCAGGAAAATTCTAGCTCCCGAACAAATTACCCTAGGCCATCAGTGTGACTACCCAAAACCACCCTGATAATCAGGGTATCAGGGTGATTTACACTGATAAAATTTGCTCTGATCGCACCCCGACCTCACGGCTCGGCGGGTAACCCGCGCTCCGGGCCTCCGCTTCGACACTTTTTCCCAACCTCAGTCCCAGTCCCGTCGCGCGACAGCCTCAGTCCATTACCGTTACCATTGTAGTTTAGCTATATATTCTTCGCTCATGCCTTCGCTCATTGTACTCTTGCTTCGATAGTGCAATTCTAGTTCGTTCACTCAATTGCACTCGTAACACATAGAAATAATATAAGGAAAATACGCGTTCTTGTCCTTCGTGTGCAACTGTATGGGTCTGGCGGTGTGGAACTGCTACAGTTAAGTCATGCACATACGAATAGATGATACAGAACCACCTGGGGTAGGTGAGTGGGGTTTTGGGTGGCGGCGTTGCTTATGAATTCGCGAAAGACCTTCGCAAAAATCGTTAGGCTGGCACAGTGAAGGTGGCGAATCAGATCGGTGTTGTCGCGGGCTCGCCCACCCTGGATGGAATCAAGGGAGAATAAGAAAATGCCTGCTGTAATCATGTGTTACAAGAGACAACTTCAGAGGTTTGACTTTTTTTTTTCAGAGTGGTTGGATGAATGTTGTGTAGGGTTTATTTAGCACACCCTGGAATCACCAACCGAAAAAACGAGAGAGAAGCCATGGTTTCGGTCAGTCGGTCGGTTGGTTGATTCGCACAACGCGCGTCACGTCAGTGACGTCACCTTCACCTTCACATTCACCTTCGATGGCTGGCTGGCAATAACTGTACCACACTGCACAGACAGCTCGGCTGCACGGCCTTCAAGCATATCCATGAACAGTCGACGCCATGGTTCGGTGGAGTGCAATGCAGCAGACAGTGGGCCTTATTCACCCATTTCAATTTGCTAGCTTTCTCTCCCTCTCACCAGCTCATTCCCCACCGACTCCAGCGAAGGTGGTCCTCTTGAAAGGCCCGTGCCATAACCCTTCACGACGCGACACACCATTATCCATTCCTCTTCCTACGCATCGTTTCGGCGTGTCCGTTCCTTCGTTTCTAGTTTCGCTTCTGCGATACACCTTCCTCTTCATTGTCGTCAAACCTAGCAGTATAAGTACCGTGACCGCGAGCCTTCTTTGGACTGGGTAGTATAGTACTGATTCCTGCTACTGTAGCACTATCGTGTGTGCGTGCATTTCGCGTTTAGCTGGTCTCCGTTGCTCAAAGTCGGCTTTTACTACCTTGAATCCAAAGCTCCTCAATCTATCAGCAGTACGGCGCAGAGACCCCAGCAGACTCGCGAGTTTGCCGAAGCGAGTAGTTGGTTACCGTTGCGTCGTTAGAATAGTGAGCATTGTTGCACAGCGAGTACTAGGATAGGGTAGCCCCATTGTCTTTTCGCCAGCCGTGGAGGCTCATGATGGCGGAATCTTGATTAACTGCTTCTGCCACGTGGACGTCGCCAGCCAGAGATGTCGTTCGTCGGACGAGCCGCGAAATGGTACAGGGATAGCTGCATTTTGTTAGAACAATGCGTGTGGTATCAATAATCCTCCATTTCTTTAGGTCGTAGGGCGAGTTTTTTTCTGTGCTCATTTGATATTTGCTTCCACATTAATCGGAATAGGTACGAGCCGAATGAGGCGTCACCTAGATTCCTCCATCTCGCAACGGCTATGAGGTATCCTTCCTCCACGTACCTAGCCACCTATGAGGCGCCTCAGAAGTTTTTTTGAGGCGCCTCAAAAGTTCCTCCATCTCGCAACGGCTATGAGGTATCCTTCCTCCACGTACCTAGCCACCTACTTACGTAAGTATGTGTTATCAAGCTTTAATGAGCACATTTCAAGACGGTGCCTATAGGTTCGGTAACGTCCGTCGTACACCGAACGCTTTTTTCGCCAGCTCTCTATCTTAGCCGCCGTTACGCTGCCCCGGAGAAAGCATTTTTGTATCACTCCCCTCGTAGCACTCTTGTAACCCTACATTCTCCCTCCCCTGCCGTCTCCTTTACCCTCGCATGTATTCCCCAACACAGATTTATCCGCTATGCCTCTCCGCACCCTTCTTCTCTCCCACCGTTGCTTCTTCCTTACCTTACCTTTTGCAGCTGTTTTATATCATAACCAGTTATGACGCAACAGCATTTTGTCTCCCCTTGTCTCCCCTTGTCTTCCCTAATCGTCCGTTTCAGGTTGCCTCTTCGCCATGGATCTCCTCATTAGGCCGGCATTCATCGTACTTTGTCTCTACTCAAAAATACTATCTACTCTTACCTTCTCTTCCCTGCTCTCCCCTCCTCGTCCCGTCGTCTCTGGTTGCCTCTTGCACTCACGGCTCTCCTCGTCAGCACAGCAATCGTCCTGCTCCTATCATCGACTCCCTCGCAGCACGGCATCCCCACCTTGGACCTCCCACGCGTTCAAGGCAGCACGACCGCTGAACGCACCCTCGTTCAAGCTTCCTCACCCCTTTCCCTACTCTTTTCTGCCCTTCCCTGCTCTCCCTTTTTCGTCTCAGGTTGCCTCTTGCGGTCACGGCTCTCCTCGTCAGCACAGCAATCGTCCTGCTCCTATCATCGACTCCCTCGCAGCACGGCATCCCCACCTTGGACCTCCCACGCGTTCAAGCCAGCACGGCCGTTCAGACCAGCGCGCCCGTTCAAACCGACGCTCCAGAGCCGTCCGATCTTCACCGAGCAGCATCCGATGCAGGCGCCTTGACAGAGCTCCAATCAAGGAGATCTCCCCACCCGGACAGCATCAAACCGACCTATCCCAACCAGGACGAACCAGAGGACTCGGAGACAGACCCATGGCTCGAGAGCCTGTGTCTGGGGAAGCAGAATAAGGGCTGCGATCCTGATCCGAACGCCGGGAACCGCTTACGCTCTGGCTCGGAGGGTAAGGGGCGAGTTGGGGGGGTGGGGGGGGTTCAATGGGTGGAGCCAGTGGGAGATGAGCCTCAGTCGGAGATAGAGGCCATTTGGGCCGCTCATGCCGCCAAACACATGACGTTCGGGAAGGTGCAACAGCCCAGACGCCCGGCCGAGGCTCGGGAAGAGGTTCGGGAAGAGGCTCTTGAAGAGGCTGGGGACAAGGTTCGGCATCATGACTGGAGTGAGGGAAGGGGGGAAAGTATGGAGATAGGGGGGATGGAGGGGATACCAGAGGGCACGTCCTTGCAGCAGGAGAAAGAGGAGGAGCAGGAGCAAGCGGAGCAGGGGCAGAAGAGGAAGGAGGAGGAGCAGGAAGAGAAGGGGGATGAGACGCAGGAGGGAGAGGAGGGGGGGGACACAGAAAGAGAACAAAAGGAGCCGTGGCGCATCTCTTCCTTCTCCACTCACATCGGACTGTCCAGAGACATACGCCTCTCCTCCTCCACCGTCCATCGGAGAGTAATAGCAGCCAGAGCACCGCCCCCAACTAAGAAAAGCCCCCCTCCCAGATCCGCCACCTCAACTAGAAAACTCCCCCCCCCCGCCTCTGCCAAGAAGATCCCCGCCTCCCCCCCGTTCCCCGCCCCCTCGCCCTCCCTCCCCCCCGCGCCCTCCCCCCCCTCGTTCCCCTCCCCCTCGTCCCCCACCCCCCAGCCCGAAGCCACCTCCGCGCCCTCCGCCGAGCCCTCCCCCCAGTCCCCCTCCACCCCCCGGGCCAAGGTGCGAGGGGAAGTGCTGCTCCAACGCTGCTCCCGCGCTCGCCCCCGGCGTTCCCAAGATGACGTCGCTGTGGCTCAGCAGCCAGCTGGCACACGGGGCTAGGGTGAGCCAAAGGGGATGGGTAATGTATGGGTGTTGGTGGGTATGGGTATGGGTATGGATAGGGGGTACGGGTATGGATAGGGGGTATGGGTATGGGGGTATGGGTATGGATAGGGGGTATGCATCATATACTTGTGACTTCTCTCTCCCCTTCCCATCTTCCTCTCCCCAGTTGATAGTGCGCACCAAGACGTGGCAAACGTGGTGGGCGGCAGCAGAGGGGGTCAACTGGGAGGGGCACGTTGCATGCCGGGTCAGCAGCACGCCCCGTCCCTCACAGTTGCTCACCATCATACCCTAAAAATCCCTGCCTGATTCCCTCCCTGCCAGGTGATAGTGCGCACCAAGACATGGGGCACGTGGTGGGCAGCAGCACTCCCCACACGCTCTCTTCTCTTCTTTCCTGAAATCCCTTTCTTACCTTCCCCCCTCCTCTTGTTCTCTCCTCCAGATAATAGTGCGCACCAAGACATGGGGCACGTGGTGGGCGGCAGCAGACGGGGTGAACTGGGAGGGGCGCGTAGGCCGGGTCTATTCCACGCCCAGTGCTTCACAGGCGCTCACCATCATTCGAGTCTCCGACACTGAGGTAAGAACAGGGATGGGGTTTATTCAGAATGACTTGCTCTTATATCCATGTGAGTGCGGATGTGACAGATGGGGTCAGCACCACGCCCAGTGCTTCACAGGCGCTCGCTCACCATCATTCGGGTCTCCGACAATGAGGTATGAGGGATGGAATGCCTTCGTATGCCCATGTCATGTGCGAGTGCGAGCAGCAAGAGATGGTTTTCTCTCACAATCACCCCCACTGCCTCACAGGCGCTCACCATCATTCGGATCTCAGACACTGAGGTAAGAACAATGGTGGGGGGTTTCTTATTTTGCCCATGTGCGGCGGGTCCTAGAGATGCGGTCTCACAGACCTGCATTCCTTCGTGCATTGCTCTTTCCATTCCAATGTCCCTTTCCCTTCATCTGCAGTTCCAGTTCCTGACTCCCAGCAACACCTTCCCAACAAAAGCAGCGTCCATGTTCCTGGAAACAACCACCAACTCCTCGGACCCGCTCACAGTGTTCACCATCGAATACCCACATCCCCTTGTTCCTCCCCCCCCCCCTCCCCCCTTTTACAGTTCCAGTTCCTGACTCCCAGCAACACCTTTTTAACCAAGGCCCCCTCCATGTTCCTGGAAACAACCACCAACTCCTCGGACCCGCTCACAGTGTTCACCATCGAGTATATCCCCGACACTGTCTACGTGGTCTTCAAATCCTTGAGACGTCTCAAAACCCGACACTGTCTACGTGGTCTTCAAATCCTTTTGAGACGTCTCAAAACCCGACACTGTCTACATGGTCTTCAAATCCTCCGATGGATGGTACATCTCACTCACAGGACGGCGACAAGGGGCCGCAGTTCAGCCAATCGCCCCTCAAGTGATCTTCTTCCCACTCCCCATTCTCCGCTCCCTTTCCCTGCAGTTCCAGTTCCTGACTCCCAGTAACACGTTCCTAACCAAGGCCCCCTCCATGTTCCTGGAAACAACCACCAACTCCTCGGACCCGCTCACAGTGTTCACCATTGAATACATCCCCGACACGGTCTACATCGTCTTCAAGTCCTCCGATGGATGGTACATCTCACAGAATGGCGAAAGTGGCCCGCAGTTCTGGTGGCAGGGGGAGCCGGGCGACTGGGAGCGGCTTGACGTGAGGGAGATCATGTGGGTGCCGGCGATTCGCGGGGCGAATCTGGGGTCGTGGCTCATGACTGAGCCGTGGATGAACAGAGAGGTGTTCAAGTTTGCTGGCTATGGTGATGGCACCCGGGTGAGTGGGCAGGAAGGGGGGGGGGGGGGGGAGGGGAGGACAAAGGGGAGGGGAGGGGAGGGGGAGGGAAGGGGAGGGGAGGGGGAGGGGAGCGGAGGGGGGGGGGGGGGAGCAAAGGGGAAGGAGTGGGAGGGAGGGAAGGGACGGTGAGGGGGGGGAGGGGAGGCAAGAAAAGAGAGGGAGGGGGGGGGGGAGGGAGGGGTGGGGGGGTGGGGATGGAGGGAAGTATCTCAACTATCCGCATATAATGTGTTTTTGCACCCCCTCCATCCCCCTTCCCCATCCTCCATCCTCCATAATATGGTTTTGCTCCCCCATCCCCCTCCAAACGCAGTTCCACTTCAATGTTGGCACACATAGCATTTAGATTCAATCGGGTTTTTGTCAATGTTTCTTGTTCCCTCCATTAAATTGTGCATGCATGGCATGGCATGGAATATGACATCCTGCATGTCATGGTGATGCATGGCATTGCGCACGCATGGCATGGTGTATGTGCGGCATGGTGCATGCATGGCAGTTCACTCTTCGCTCGGTGATATCGGGTCAATACGTCACAGCGCCCGGTGGTGGTGGAACAATAGTAAGTGGACACAACACACCTCTATCGCCACAACAGGTTACTTTCGCTTTTGACTCAATGTCACCTCGCTGGGTGATATTGGGTCAATACGTCAAACTATGTAACATGGTGATGCACCTCACGTGGTGGTGGAACAATAGTAAGTGCACATACATAGCATCACACTATGCTACTATCGTTTGTTAGCGGTCTGCAAAATCAATATCATTCCATCGACATCTTTGATCCTTTTGCTAAAATCCCTTTTAGCGATTATCCAATTGTGTTCTCTTGCGTATCCTCCAAATCTCCCTCATTGCCTCAACCAGATGTATTGCAACGGCTCCCTCAACAAGGACGCGCATCTGCCCCTCACCACCATCTTGAAATCCAGGACTTCCATGCCCCTCCACCCGTGTGCTCCTTTTGCCCTCTTGCCACAACCAGATGTATTGCAACGGTTCACTGAACAAGGACGCCTATCTCCACCTCACCACCGTTCGGAACGCCTCATCCAACACTCGCAGAGTAAGGCCCACCCTTACCCACTACTCTTTGGGGATTGGCGCAATCCATGGCACCTCAAAGGTCTCGGAGTAAGGCAGGCTGTTAAGTACTGCTCGTTTAAGGGTAGACGCCACTGTACTGCCTGCACACTGTACACTATTGCAAGCTACTTGCTATTCTCCTACTCACTGGATCAGCTTCCTTTATATGCTTGTTGGGTTCCTCTGTTCTGCCTAACTCTCCCTCACCAGATAGCCGTGCAGTGGCTGCAGTACTGGGCTGTGAGGAAAAACTCACCCAACGTCTGGGTCCAATCCACAGAGCCCGAGGTATGTAGTGTCAATCCGCGAAGCTTACTCTTCAGTTAATCCCACAATCGCCCAAGCATTTATGAACTATTCAAAAAGCGTGAGCTTACTCACTTTGCCTCGCCGTCTCTCCTCCTCGCTACAAGCATTTTGTTAGCTTCCTCCCGCTCTCCCACCGCCAACCCCATTCACCCCTTTTACTAATCACTAGGTCATAGCGAGCAACTTTGAGCTCTTCATCTTCGGAATACCTCTCAACGAATCAACGGAGCAGAGGGGAAGCAGTGTGCGCGTGGTGTTGCGTGCTCCCAACGGCCTCTTTGTCCAAGCCAACCCCGACGGTTCCCTTACTGCTGATCTTATCGATTCCCTCGATAATGACGCCATCTGGAGCAGCGCTGCTGCCTTCGACCTCACTGTGGTGAGTGTGACTTCATTCCCTTCCTCCTCTCTCCCTTCTCACCTCCTTCCGTCCGTCCCTCCCAAACCTCCCTTCCTCCCTCCCTTCGTCCCCTCGTCTCCCTTCCTCCCCTTGTCTCCCTTCCTCCCTCCCCTCATCCCCTCGTCTCCTTTCTGTATGTCCCATCAACCTTCACCCCAAATGTGCACTCCACTCCTCTCCCCATCAGCTATGGCGGGTGGAGGCGGATTGGCAGGCGGCATACACAGTCGGCGCGGCCGCCCCATCAATCTACGAGAACATTCGCCGAAACTTCATCACGGAAGCAGATTGGCAGAAGATGCAAGAGCTGGGGATCAACACAGTGCGCATCCCCCTGGGCTATTGGATAGCCCTCGACGCCTCCCCTGAGTTCCCCTTTGTGCCTGGAGCGGCAACGTATTTAGACTGGGCGTTTGAGATGGGGAGGAAGTATGGGGTGAGGATTTGGTTCAGTGTGCATGTGGCGCCTGGGTCACAGGCAGGCAAGGGGAATGCGCGGGATGGGCTGATCCGCTGGCGAGGGGCGAATATCAACCGCACGCTCGACTTCGTCACCTGGCTCGCTGACAGGTGTGTATGTTCTGTTCTTGATGCTGCTTTTGCTCATAGTTTGGTTAGTTTGTCAAAATTCCAGCCACTAACCACTTGGATAAAATGACTTGTTTGTATAGCGGATGAGTGCGCCCATAACTCCCCAGACCAACGTGGCTGTAACCTTTCCCTAAAATCAATCGGGGATCTTTAGTGGACCTCAAACACCCCTTTTCACGGTGATGTTCGAGGTGTATACACTGGGATTTGAACCCGAGACCATCGTTCTGATACCATGTCAGAATCCCAGCCACAAACCACTGGGATGCAAGGGCTTGTTTGTGTAGTGGGTGAGTGCGCCCATAACTTCCCAGGCCAACGTGGCTGTATCCCTTCTCTAGGATTTTTCAGAGATCTCCAGTGGACCTCTGACATAGTTTGTTTAGTGTCTGTCATATCTCTAAGGTGTGTTTTCAAGGCTAACTTGCTTGAATGGCTTCTTGCTCCCGCTTTCCGAACTTGCAGGTACGCCACCGACCCTATGTGGCTGGGCATGGGGCTGCTGAACGAGCCGGTGGTGCCGGGGGCCAACGGGTACGCGGGGGTGGATCTAGAGGACATGCGGGGGTACTACTCGGCGGCTTTCAACGCCATCCGCGCGCGCTGCCTGTGCTGCTTCGTGGCCATGGAGGGCCGCGTGGGCAGCAACTTTGGCGACGTGATGTGGCACATGAGCGACGCGTGGCACAACAACATGATCCTGGAGCAGCACATCTACGAGGTCTTCGGCAACTTCTTCAGCTCCCAGGGCGTCAACTTTGAACTTGATTACGCTTACACCACCCGGGTCAACAACATCGTCAGCTTCCAAGAGGTGGGCTGGGAAGGGATGGTTGTCTCAGTGTTCAACATATGTTAGTCTCATTGACTGGGGATCAAGTAAGCCTACACCACCTGGGTCAACAACAGCGTCAGCTTTCAAGAGGTGGGTGCGCTGCCTATGATCCCCGGCTTTCCATAAAGTCTGAGTTGCGGCAACTTCTTCAGCTCCCATTGTGTTGACTGGGAGATTGAATATGCCTACACCACGCGGGTTAACATTATCGTCAGCTTTCAAGAGGTGGTCTGCCCGCAGTTTGTGCATTTTCCTTCATTCTGAGTCAACTCAGCAAGAATCCGTTCGTTTGAATCTCGCTTGCTTTTCGCTCTCAACGTCTCATCTTACCTGTTTCACACGACACATGCCGAACGTCCCGTTGCGTTGCTTTCTCTCACGTATTCTGTCCCGTTGTGCTGTGGGCAGAAAGTGGGGCGGCAGCTGTTGGTGGGGGAGTTCTGCAATGCAATGGGCAACCCTGCAACACCGGAGCAGCAGGCCAACTTCTCCCTCGGCCAGATGAAGGCATTCAGCCACGCTAAGGCTGGTTGGTTCTTCTGGTCCTGGAAACTTAACACCACCGGTACGTGCTTCCCTCTTAGAGCGTGTTCCTATGGCCTCTTGTCAGGCCTACCCCATATCAGATTTGTGCAAACTCGAGATTTTCGTTATTAAAACCGAATTTCAGACTTGTATTGCGCGATTAAAGTCCGCGCGTGCGCGAAACCTTTCAATCGCGCCACATCAGCAAACCACACCGAGACCCTGCACTGAACATGTGCAAACACAGGTCTGTTTTGTCGAGAACGGGGCTACAGTTTTGTTTTTCAGCGGGCTGTGGCACCAACGATTTGTTCACGATTCTCTGGGACGCCACAATGTGAAATTCGGAACCTGACGTTTTTTCTCAAACCGAGCTCCCTTGCCCAGATTTTCGGGCAGTACAGGAAAGCTGTTCACGATCCACGTGCCACATCACCTAGGCTATAAAATTTTCACGCACGTTGCAATACTAGAAAAGCGTCCAATACGAATTCGCCTTACACTGAGAAATGTGTGATTGGGGCGAGTCTGACTAGAGGTTGTCTGACAAGGGCCCTGTAGGAACACGCTCTTACCGCGCATCCCTCTTGCCAAAGGTTTTTACCGTGTTTCTTCCCTCGGTCTGAAAACTTTACATTACCCATCTGTACATGCACTCCTTTTTTATATTTTGCTGAATCGTTTTTTCCTCGGTCTTCAAATGCGGTTTTCTTTGCTCTTTGTGACACGTGTTTTTCCTTCCGATTCTGCAGGGACACATCACTGGCAATTTGTCAACAGTTACGAGCGAGGCTGGTTACCCAAGAAACCTGATGGCAATTGGTATTGAATCATTTGAAATCGGCCTGAACAAAACGGCTATCATAGATGTGCAACGACCGTTGCACTTTGGAATGGATTCCGTTTATCCAAATTTGTAACATAACGTTTTTATTTAATTTGAGTTGCAAAACCCATGTACTTGATTTTGTTACTGGTATTTGGCTGCGATCCCTGCTTGTCTTGTCCTTGTGAGCGAGACTTAAAACTCCGGTATACATTTGAAAGGAGGGGTTCAAAATCCTTAGGAAATTGAAAAGTTGCCCCAAAACTGAGGCACACTGTAAAACCCTGAACCTCTCTGACAGATGTATACTGGAGTTTTGACACCTTGGTGGGTCAGGCCTCAACCTAGAATGGAAGGGAATTTTTCACTAACCTTGTCACGACGCACACCACACAAGCAAGCACTACTGAAAACAATTTCAAAATGGCCTACATTTGAACCTCAATCTCTGCGCATTGACATATCCGAGGCCATGGTGTACTGAGGCGGGAACGACCTGTGATTGACCGTTTCCGTTTTCATCAGTCAAGTTGCGAATGATTGACCATTTCCGTTTCAGTCAAGTCGCGAATCATTGCATTTCCGTTTCAGTCAAGTCCCGAATAATTGACCGTTTTCGTTTCAGTCAAGTCGCGAATCGTTGTCGACATCAGCAACTATGAACGTGGAGGTGCGTGCGACTCGAAGCTTCTCCCGCTTGGTTTCACAGTGACCTTTCTTTTTGTTCTGCTTACTTACAGCCGTATTGTCTCCTTTGTTCGCCGACAGTACCCGTCATCATCCGCCATTATCCCGCATTATTCCGTCGTAACAGTCATGATGCTGTCATCATTACGTCATGCTCCCGTCGTGGTTCCGTCATGATCCCGTCGTGATTACGTCATGATCCCAACATGATCACCTTCACTTCGTTATCCTCTGTTTTCCGATTTTTTGAGTCGACTCAAAATTTGCCTTGCTCCACAATGGCGTCAGGCGATCCTTCGTCGACATCCTTCCAAGAAGCTTCGTCGTGTTTTGGAGGACCCCTCCGCGTTCAGGTTCCAGGTACAGAAAGCGTTTTCACAATATCCGTTTTCTGAACTCCATTTGTTATCCGTGGCTCAGACACTCAGCCTTATAGTTTTGGTTTTACAACTGGAAAAAAAGAAAGCAAGCAATCGAACAAACAAAAACAGCTGTGTGAACGCAATGCTTTTCTATTTGCCAGACGTGACATCCTTTCGTTCTCCGCCATCCATTATCCCAGGTGCTTGTATCAGAAGTGACTGCAAGTGCTAACGGCCAGCCTTGTTTGCGTCGCCATGGCTATCGAGTGGACCATGAGTACTTCTATCCTGCCAGGTGTGCTGCCCATGCTGCACTAAGCAGATGCTTTATCCTGCCAGCTGTCTTTCTTTCTTTCCTCGTTCTTCGGACTGCTGTCCGTCAGTCCACCACTTTACAGCATAAAGAAGCCTGCTTTTTCCTCCTCTTCCTCCTCCTCCTCCCCCTCCTCCTCCTCCTCCTCCTCCTCCTCCTCCTCCTCCTCCTCCTCCTCCTCCTCCTCCTCCTCCTCCTCCTCCTCCTCCCCTATTGTCTGTCTTCTTTCTGTAAGATTCTGCATCTTTCCTCTTCCCATCCCTTTTTAGTCTGACTCTCTGGCTTGCCTTCCTCCTGTTCTTGTCCGCCTTCTTCGCGTGTCATCCTTTTTCCTTGTTTTTATTCTTGTTCTTAACTTGTCTCTTTATTCTTGTTCTTAACTTGTCTCTTACCCCACACCCGTCTCCTCCCTACCGTATTTGTCTCCTCCCTTCGTGTGTCTGTCTCCTCTCGTCATTTTCCTCTTCTCACCTTTTTACCTCTCAGTGCCATCAAGCTGTGTGCTGCAGTGGTGGCTCTTCTAAGAGTGGCAGAGTTCCAAGGTGAGACTGGTATATTGGGGCACGTTCGGTTTGAATGGGTTCAAAGCGGTTCCCTTGAGGAAGTGACGCAGTGTTGTTTTCATGAGAGCCTGACAGAATAAACAGCGAATTTGGTATACCTTGCATGCACATGTTTCTGCACTTCCGTCTCCCGAGAACGTGGCCTTGTTGGTTTGGCTTCGCACCGTCAGCAGAACACTTTTTTTTCAATCCTAGACCCCCACTCGAGCTCATGTGATGCTGCCCCCTCCGTTCCCCGCCTTGTTGCCTCTACATCACGTACCAACAGAGGCTGTTTCCACTCCTTTTCACTGCCCCCCCTCCTCCCAACCCACCCCCCCGCCTTCTCTCCCTCTATTCATCCTTGCAGCTCGAGGGGTGAACATATCGTTGAACTCGCCTCTCTCCTTCCTCCCTCTGTACCCCGGAGACAAGGAGGAGAACCACGATCCGTCCAACCTGAACGGAGGGCATATCACCATTGCTCATGAGATCAGAAAGATGTTATTGGTGAGTATCGGGGTGACTTGTTGCACACGGTTTTGAGAACCCTGAAAAACTGCCTACCCCGGAGACAAGGAGGAGAGTCACGACCCGTCCAACCTGAACGGAGGGCACATCACCATTGCCCATGAGATCAGGAAGATGCTACTGGTGAGTGCTGTTCCTGGCGAGATCGGAAAGAGGATTTCGACGTGTATGAAGATTGGTTTTGAGACGTCTCAAAACCAATCTTCATACTGGTGAGTGCTGTTCCTGGTGAGATCGGAAAGAGGATTTTGGTTTGTTCTCTAGTCTATGCGGTTTTTGCCGTTCCTTTCTTGATGTGGTTCAAATCTTTGTCTTCTTCCGTGCTTGACTCAGGTGTCTAGCAACACGGCCTACAACAGGCTCTATGCCTTGATAGGACAAAGGCGTCTGAATGAGGCCATGTGAGTATCACTGCCCGAAAGCAACTCTATGCCTCATAGCAGCGAGGTGACTTTTTTTTTTGGCTCAAAATTCACCACGGGCAACACGGCCTACAACAGGCTCCTATGCCTTGATAGGACAAAGGCCACTGAATGAAGCCATGTGAGTATCACTGCCCGAAAAAACCCTCAATGCTTTCATTCATAGCAGCAATGCTTATCCATGGGTAGGACAGGCGAATCAATGAGTCAATGTGAGAATCGTTGCACAAAAACAACTCGATGCCTTCGTTCGTAGCAGAGCGGCGATGCCTATGCCTTGATAGGGCAGAGGCAACTCAGTGAGTCCTTGTAAGTCGTTGCCATCACTGACGACATGGCTTGCAGTTGGTAGCAAAGCAGAATGACCTTCCTTCTTATTTCCATTCTTCGCTCTTTGTTTTGGCACTCTCTGGTTCCATTTTCCACCCACCACCTTACCTCCCACATGTTTCCACTTCGCATTCATTTCTGCAAGCAAATGAGCTTTATTTCTTCCTTGCCGTCCCTTCTCTCCAGGCACTCCGTGGGTCTCTGTTCCGCCCACCTCTCCCACCGCCTCTCCATCCCCCTCTCTCCTCTCGACAACCGGCGCTGCGAACCCGTGCTAGTGGGCGTGGAAGGAAATGCATCCGCCTTCTGCTTACCTCCCAAGTGCAGCAGTCATGAGCTGCCTCCGGTGGAAGGAGTGGAGGGGTTGCTGATTGGGAGTGCTTATATTGATGACAATGGCACCAAGGTGGGTGTGCTTATATCAGTGCCAAAAACACCAAGGGGGGTGTACTCATATTGTGATTTGTGTGAGAGAATATTTAAAATTTGCTATGGCTGTTATAGGCGTATGTGTTTTCTCGGTGGATTTTCAGATGTCTCAAAGGTCAACCTCATGCCAAGGTGACTGGTGAGACGATTCAAAAGTGGGTGTGCTTGTATTGTGATTCGTGTATTAGGGGACTTCAGGTAGGTAAGTAGCTGTGGCTGTTGGGGCATCCGTGTTTCCTTGGTGTACTTTTTAAGTTTCAGAAGCTACCCTCATGCCTTTATGTTTCTTTGCTTCTGTTTGTATGGGGCAACATGGGAAACGGTTCACTATTTTCTCCATCGTTTCCTTTTGCTGAAGTGACGACTGTTGTTCGTACACCATGTTCTTGTTTTTTCCCAATCGCAAGGGCATGATGATTGTGATGCAATGAGTGTGGTGCTCTGTGGTGCAATGATCGTCATGGTATGGCATGCATGCATGGCATGGCATAGCATGGCATGGCATGGCATGGCATGGCATGGCATGGGATGGCATGGGATGTTGGTGGTGGATTGGTATTGCATGTCATGGCATGGTATGGCATGGCGTGGTATGACATTGCATGGCATGGCATGGCATGGCATGGCATGTTGGTGAATGGCAGGCGGGTCTTTACAGGTCAATTCGCCCTTGGACTTTGCCCCCAAGAATCGCTTGACTCTCGTTGACCTGCAGAACCTCCTCGTGCTGCTCATGCGCCCAGACATACAGGTGTACCATAATGCATGTGCCAGATGTGGTGTGTGCGAGCATGTACTGTTCATGGTAATTTCAATCAGTTTTCTCCCCCAAGAATTTATTGACTCTCGTTGACCTGCAGAACCTCCTCGTGCTGCTCATGCGCCCAGACATACAGGTATACCATAATGCATGTGCCAGGGTTTAGGAAGGATCCAGCTGCCTTGGCTGCCAGCCAATCAGATTGGACAAGGGACACAGGCTGCCGCTGCTGGAGGCCATGAGGCAGCAGTACCCAACCCACCACGGGAGAGGCCCCTACGACTTATCAAGAAGTGTCTGTGAGGACTTCATCTCTCCCTCTCCTCCTCCCCTTTTGCCACTGCCTGTCACCCAGCTGCCTGGCTGCCAGCCAATCGGATTGTAGAGGGGCACAGGATGCTGCTGCTGCTGGCCATGGGGCAGAAGAATAAACTATCTTCACGGGAGACTCTTACGGCTATTCTGATGTCTCCTCTCCTTGTATTCATTACCAGTACCTATGTTGGAAAAAACGCTCGGGCTTCTACGCGTATCACGTTTATACGAGAACGTATATACGGAAAAACGTGATACGTTCCGTAATCCGCGATACGTTTCGTCGGGCAGCCTGAAAAAAAAAGAGAAAAAATCTGTTGCCGCTGATTCCGCGATCTGCAATTCTGTGAAACCTAATTTTGAGATTCGAAACTCGAATGCCCCCCTCCCCTCCCCTCCACCGCACATCACCTCACACCACCTCCCAAACCCAACCTTCCCTTACGAGCTGCTCGCACGTCGGCGTGAGTACAACAGCGAATCTCATTTGGCTCACGCCAAGTTTACTGCTATTGCTAGCAGCGGCGTCGCGTCACTTGCATTGCAGATCTTAGCAACCGCAATATTAGGACGATTCTAGCCAACAATTCCGTACTGGCGTAAACCCCACGGGAGTTATCCGCATCAAGTATTGCTTAAGTTCTTTCCCTAAAAGCATTCTACGTCAACCGAAATGTTTTTCCCCTGCCCTAGAGATTTTTAACCTGCCCGACGCACCGTATTTCGAGGTTTTTTGTACGCTGGAAAATTGCGTATCGCGTATGTACGATACCGTATAGTTCGTATGCGTTCAGTACGCCATACGCGTATTTTCCAACATAGACCACTACCCCCCCCAGCTGCCTGGCTGCCAGCCAATCGGGTTGGACGAGGGTCACAGGCTGCTGCTGCTGGAGGCCATGAGGCAGTACCCACGGGAGTCCCACAACCCCAGATATGCCGACAAGAAGTACACGGATGATTACTGCAAGGTGCGATGTGGTGCGATGGGGTGTGAAGCAGTGTGGTGGGGTGTGGTGCGGTTCGACGAGGTGTGATGAGGTGTGTTCGGGTGCTGCTGCTGGAGGCAATAGGGCAGGGGAGTCCCACAACCCCAGATATGCCGACAAGAAGAGTACACGGCTTATTACTGCAAGGTGTGATGCGATGTGATGGGGCGGGGAGTGGCGTGATGGGTTGTGATGAAATGTGATGGGGTATTCAGGGGTATGATGTGGTTTGATAGGGTATGAAGGGGAATTGGTCAAAGACAACGGGGAATTCTTCTCAACCAATGGCGTCAAAGAAGGGCAGTTCCACCCACTGAGAGGCATATGCAAGTATGGGTTTTTCTTCCTCCAGCAAACTTTTTTTTTCTGGCTCTGCCCGTGCAGTTTTTTCTGCCCGGATTGTGCCGAGTGCGGCCAAAGGAATCTCTGCACGTCTACAACAAGATTGGGCAGGCGTTTGGCTTCACTATTGATAATGCGTGAGTCGTGCCATGGGATTCGCTTCACTAATTTGCAATCCCCAAGAACCAATCAAGTCCAGTTTTTTGGTGTCTTAGTGCACTTCCTTAACTCTCCCGGGTGAAATGGAGTCATGAGTTATTTTTGGCTCTTTGCTCTCTTTTTCCTTCAGAAACTCTGAGAGCAGGATGTGTCAGTTATGTAGCCTGCTTGAACAGGGGTGTGTGAAAATAGACTCCTTGTTGAAAGGAACGAGCAGCGAAGTATTTGTCGATGTTATATCACGTCACCCTTCCCTCCATACGCTCTCCCCGTCCCTCTTCTGCCCAGCTGTATCATTGCATACCGACAGACAAGAATAGCTTTTTTATAATCTCTTGTTAAGCGCACTAACGGCATGAGTGTACCAGTGACACCATATAACATACCTCACCTGATGTACCTCCCTACTCCCCGTTTCCCCTCCCCCCTCCTTCACCCCTCACCCCACACATTGCTCCCCACCCCAACCCCCCCGGGCCACCTCTTCCCCCTCCCCTCTTGCCTTCCTTTCCAGATATATTCTCGATATAGAGACAGGGAGGGAGTTCTTCCTCTCTCTTGCTCTCTACACCAATGAAAACGGCTGCCTGAACGACGATAAGTATGAGTATGACCTGGCGTATGACGTGGCAGCTGACGTGGCAGAGGCCATTGCCAGGGCCCTGTGGGATGATAACAGCAAGGCTCAAGACCAGGATGACATGGCAGCTAAGGTGGTCCCTGGTGCGTCCGATGATGCATCATCTGATCTGGCAGCTGATGTGGCAACTGACGTGGCAACTGACTCATCAGCTGACGTGCCAGCTGATGTGACAGCCGATGTGACAGCCGATGTCGTAGCTGATGTCGCAGCTGATGTGGCTGCTACTGCATCAGAGACAAAAACTTTGAAGGAGGAGCATCTTTCTCCCTCCCTGGCATCCATATCGCTCGGAGCCTCTGATGCTTTTCAAGTTTCAAATGTGCCATCCTCCTGTTGTTTTGAACCGCCTCAAAAGAGTATTCCTGACGCTGTGGCCTGTCTGCCATCAACGCCATCCACCGATTCCTCTCAAAGTTCTGATGCACCAGGCTCAACTGTCAACGCAGAGAGCCTCAGCAACAAGACCCTGCTCCCTGTATACACGTTCTTCGTTGATGAATGATGGAGCTGCCTTACTGTAGCTTTGCTTATTCGAGTATAGCAAACTACCTATGTTTGAGACAAATCTTGGGGGTACGTTTGTGCGAAATATGCTACACCCAACCATTGTGTACGGTAAGTTACTCAGACCATTCTAGTGATAAATCATCCCAGCCCTTGGTGAGTCACATGTTTGAATGGTTCAATTTAGGGTTTCTGAATAGTATAGTAGAGCCAAGTAAGGTGGGCGACCAGACCCTGACGCAATTGTGGGATGCGTATACACAGTAACGTGGTACTTCAGAATGCAAGTGAGAAAGGTCATTTGGCAAGCTCTGGACTAGTACAGTACGGTAGATCTAATCCAATGTGCTCTACCTGGGACATTGATCCAAGTACATGCCATGAAACATGTCAAACTGCAGCTCATCATGGCTGGCTGGCCATGGTCGGTAAAGTAGGGACAGGGTAGACAGAAGCAATTCCTTGTGTGTCGAGATGTCGTGCACGTCCTGATCTCTCATCCCAACAGATGTCAGCCAACTAGCTTCTTTTCCACGCATAGATAGTTATTTACACCTTGCAGCCGAAGTTGATAATCACAGCACCTCTGCATTGGAAACACAAATGAGGTGCAGCAACAGAGATGGAAAACTTGGTGTGAGCAAAACAAGAACATCCCAACAACAGCGACAAGGAGGCTGGATGAGGGAGGGAGTCTACCAAGTGTAATGTAAGCTGCAGGTATCAAGTTAAGATGCACACGTTCAGCATATTATTTACCATGGTAATCTCGAAGACATCCAGTATGGTACACTACACTATTGTTCATTGGAGTGTGGTGTCCAGGGCCTTGGACTTGCCAGAAGGCGGAATATACCCACAGAACCAACGTACTTACCAATGTAGCTGCAGTTACCATGTGGGGCTCTAGTCCCTTAGCTGCATGTATCATGTGAGTTAACGATCAAGACAATACACTACCTGTTTAATGGAGTGTGGTTGTCCAGGGCCTTGGACTTGCCAGTGGCAGAAAACGCCCACAGAATTAAGTTCCTCCCAGTGTACTTCACAGGGACAGTACCCTTAGGGCCAGAGCGGGTAAACCTGTTTGTACGGTAAAAATCAGAACAAGGAGAACAAAACATGTGTTCAGTTCAGAAACAGCTGAGTGATTGAGGGAATATGAGACTACCAACACATGTTACGGAGACAAAGGCAGCTGGAGCGAGCCAAACTGGCAAGAACGGGCTGGCTTGTTTACTCCAAACCCTACGTCCAGACAATGAGAGGCTGATATACTTGAATGATGCCTTACAGGGTTTTCTCAGCCCAGCAACACAGAAGCACACTACTAGCACAAATAAAGCAGCATGAGTGAAGACCAAGCAGCAGCACTATTTAACTCGAAGCTCACTAAAGCGCGCGAACTCACTTCATGATGGTTCCCTGGGGGTTGGTAACCACGCTCGTTTTTGTGATCGCGAACTTGTTCGTCCTCGTTACCGACGATTTCGTAATGCTCCCCATGTAGTACGGACCAATCACGTTCGGCCGAGGCAGGTTCCCGATCACCGCATCTGAGCCGGTCATCTTGCCCGCCTTGGAGAATCCGACGGATATCCAGCCCTTGTGAGCGCCGCTCGCAGCTTTTGCCTCCAACGCGAAGTTCAAGGTCGTTGGGTTGACGGCCTTCCAGTGTAGCACCAGCCTGATCAAGCGAGACACGGGTTCAAGGGGACGAAAGGTACAGTAAAACCAGACGTAAGAATATCATGAGACATGGGTAAGTGGCGGATAATATGTGACATTTTTTTTAGCTTTTGCCTCCGACGCAAAGTTCACGATGGTTGGGTTGACGGCCTTCCAATGTAGCACCAGCCTCATCAATCGAGACACGAGTTGAAGGGGAAGAAAGGTACAGTAAGACCAGGCGTAAGATCATTTTGGTGCATGGTTAAGCGGCGAATGATATGCTACATTTTTTGCTGGTGGAAGCTAGTGGGCTTGCAATGAGTGCAAGGAAAGAGATTAAATAAGGTGAAGCGTAGATGCCGGCAAATTACAGAGCGATACCGTGTGACTGAAGGTAAAGTTTTACAAATTTCAGCCCTAAAAATTGTAGGGCGTCGAGCGGAAAGAAAATTTAGACACGGCCGGATGGAGTGGTTTGGTTGGTGGTTATGGGTATTGGATGGACCATGCACTGCTGGAGAAAACTCGCGAAGCGCGAAGGCGAAGCATGAACCTTCATTCTTGAAAGGGAAATACGGAAATGCGGAAACCGCGCATTGCGGTCTGTGGGAAGTTTATTTGACTGAAGCAACTTCTTGTGAAGTCTAGTCGACTTAAGTACAGACCAGGCGTAGCCTTACCCTTTCCGAGTGAGAGCGGCGGCGTTCGTGTAACCAGGTAACGTCGACTTGAAGCATTTCGCCACGGGGACCGGCGCTGCAGACACGCCGCGCATGCCGGCGCCATAAGAGAAGCAGCCTCCGGCGGCTACTAAGATGAGAGCTAGTACGGCGAGGGACGTGAACGGGACCCGCGGGACACGGTGGGACCCTAACCCACGCTGGATTCGGCGCGTCGCGATTATGCGGGAATATCCAACCATGGCGTCAACAGGAACTGCAATTTGCAACGCGCACAAGTGGAGGTGTTACGTTGTTTCTCGGAGAGAAACAGAGCGCTTGTTTAGGGTAGCAATCAACAACCGTGTCGCTGGCTTGTGAGAAACCGCACAAAATGGAATGAGGAATGCATTATCAAACCCTCAAGGTCTACACAGTGCTGTCGTGGAGATGTAATAGCTGCGAGGGCGAGAGGATTGGAACTTTGCTCACTAGCCGCCAGTGCAAGATTGAGGCGAGAAATGCACCACGGCAATCAGCGTTTCCACGGAGAGAATTTCTCCAGACCCGGAAACGGTGATTTGCCGTTGCATACGTAGCCTTGAATTGCTACCGTGGTCGGACAATTCGATGAGAATTGCTCGAGTGGTCTTGCCAGAGGTTTCCTCTGGCATTTGTTTTTATCCGGCACATTACCCAAAATCGGTTTTTAGCCCTGAAATTCTTACGTCGAACTTGTCTCTTCCTGCGAAAGTGTGACGCACCCGGAAAGACGTACACGAGGGCGGCGCCGTCACTGTTTGGATACGCGAGAAAATCGGCACGGTAATCTAGGCAAACAGTTGCGCTCAATTTCGGTCCATGTCGTAACCAATCCGCGCATAGTTATATGATTCCCCGATCATATACTCAGTTGCACAAATGTCAGTACGCGCGACCAATTACACAGTGCACTTTATTGGTCGACTTTATGCGTGGGGCCTTTTCTGACCTTGTGCGTCCAATCAGACGCGGTCATGTAAAATTGTGCTCATATAAAATCGCATATTTACCTATATGAGCGCGCATATGTGATGCTCAAATGTGTATGTGATATGTTTTATTAATATAAAACTATGTTAATAAATTTGAGAGACGTTATCACTACCAGCGTTTTGCCATTATACCTATATCAAACTGTTCATATCTATATCGCACATCTTGATATAGGTATAATGACAAAATGTCGGCAGTAATAATGTCTCTCAAATTTATTAATATAGTTTAAGATTAATAAAATAGATCATACACACATTCGAGCATCACATATGCGCGCTCATATAGGTAAATATGCGATTTTATATGAGCGCGATCTTACATGACCGCGTTTGATTGGACGTGCAAGGTCAGAAAAGGCCTCGCGCATAAAGTCGACCAATCAGGCGCACTCTGTAATTGGTCGCGCGTACTGACATCCGTCCAACTGAATATATGATCGTAGAATCATATAACTATGCGCGGATTGGTTACGATATGGGCCAAAATTGAGCGCAACTGTTTGCCTAGATGAGTGTGCTGATTTTTGTCGCGTATCCGAATAGTGGCGTTTTCGCCCTCGTGCACGTCTTTCCGTGTACGCCACACTTTCGCGGGAAGAGACACGTTCGAAGTAAGAATTTCAGGGCTAAAAACCGGCTTTGGGTAATGTGCCGGATTAAACAAATGCCAGAGGAAACCTCTGGCAAGACCACTCGAGCAATTCTCATCGAATTGTCCGACCACGGTAGCGATTCGAGGCCACGTGTGCAACGGCAAATCACCGTTTCGGGGTCTGGAGAAATTCTCTCATTTCCACGGCTAGGTAGGTTAGGGAAGGGCGTTTCTTGGAAGAATGTCGGTTTTGAGCGCCCTGCTTGCATTCTTGGATGTGAAGGTCGGGTGTTGGGTTGCGTGTCGGCGAAACAAGCCGATCAACCAATGGCAGGCTCTCAGACATAACGGCCGTGTCCTTTCTCCAAGTCCCCCGCCGACAATCCTTCGGTTTGTTTACTGTATATTTCAAAATGCTTCCCCAGAGGGTGAGATGGCTTTGTTGCTCCGAAATGTTTTGCTCTGAACTGAACCCCAAGCACGAACTAAGGGCGTGCTACATGTTTTACATCAGCCCGTCCGGAAAAGCAGTCGTCCGGACCTTTTAGCGGCTACCTTACTTTCGTCAGTTTCCTCGTTAGACCACTTACGGACCGATTATGGAACATTATGCGTGAATTGCCTTTCCAACTCGACCGGACAGTTACAGTTCGATAAGTGGACGGACGTAGCAGTAAAGCAATTTTATTGGTTTACGATTCGAGCCTTTCAGTCGCTTGAGTGTTACCTTTGTCGCAATCTCGTCGTGATCATGGTGACAACCTAGCGAACACTCTGAACTTCGTCAGGCTGAAAATGATTCATAAACAACGTCGGACGAGGTTTAGTCTGGACGATGGACCCGGACTGGCCGAGATTCGGAATCTGAACCGTTCTCGGATGGCTGTCCGGATTTTAGCCGCTGTTGAAAAATGTAGCACGCCCTAAGAGCACCGCTGTTCACTGGGCTCGATATAGATTCTGCCCCTCCCGCTTTTTGTGATGGGCATGCTGTTGTTGATGGGTGACTACTTGCAGCACGCAATACCTCATTATAAAC